CGCCACGCTGCCCAAGCGGTGCAATACAGCAGTGCGCCACCGGGCCGGCCCCACAACTATACCTTTTTGAAGTTGTTACAACAAGCAAACGGAAAGGACATTCTTGGGGGGAAGGGGAGAGAGGGAGGAGGGAGGGAGGTGTTGGTGATGGGCCATAATAATCATATACATTGTATATTGACAAAATAAAAATTTAATGAAAAAAAAAAGAAAATAAATAAATAAATAATAATTAATTAATTTTAAAAATAAATAGATAAAATATGTTCTTACCACTTTTAAAAAAGTAAATAAAATATAAAGTCTGGCTGAACAGAAATAAATAAATAAATAAATAGAAATAAAAATGTTCACCCATTTTTACCACAAAATTTTGCTTCTAATAATTTATATTTTTGAAATAAATGGACTAAGGATTTAGCTATTAAAATAAATTTGGTATTATTTGGATATTAGATTAAATGGGAATTTAGAGCAACCCTTCTTGGGAAATTCACTGACAGAGGGTTATAACCACAGACATCCCCGGGTCCCACCTCCAAGGGTGTTGACTCTGTTCAGGTCTAGGGGTCCAGAGTGGATCTATCTCTAACACATTCTTAAGGTGATTAGAGGAGTAACCAGATTTGGGCAGCTCTTCCTTCAGGTTTAGCCAGCCTCCTGGGAACGCAGCAGAACTCCAGCTGCGCTGACGCAGCTTGCACACTTCCAGGGGCAGGAAGCTATGACTTTCAAGTGAGTTCTGGTTGTAAGAAAATGCTGGCTTTTTACACATCTGCCTCAAGAACTGAGTTCTACCAATTCACGGAGCGGAAAAAGGATAAGGCAAGAAACTGAAGATGTATATCCCCTGGTCCCCAAAAGGAGACACAATTTAAAAATCAAGTCGCTGCTGTTGCGTTTTATTCTGTCTTTCAAGAGGCCCAACACCTAATTACTATGAAATCCAGTGTATCCACTAGGACGAGTTCTTTGTTCATATTTTTAATAACATGCATAGTCTCCCCAAACAAGCTGAAAAATCACATCACCAAAACCCCCTTTAAAGGATCAACTGGGAAAGCAGGAAAGAGTTGTTACTTCTTGCCAATTCTTACCAGAAAAAGGCAGCCTCTGTGAGGGTATTTCAAAAGGCTGAAGGGAAAATAGAATTAAAAGATAATAGGAATCTTTCCATGAACTTTGAGAAGTACCCTCCTAGGTGACTTCCTAACAGAAGACAAGGAAGACCACACCTGCAAAGCCGACAGGCGCTGTGGGAACTCTGCCCCAGCCAGCAAACAAGATGCAGGCGCCTGTGTTGGGTTAACCGTCTCCTCAAAAGCTGCGCTGGTCATCCACTCTTTGAAACCCTCAGGCAGTCTTTGCATCCACCACACCTGCAAAGCCGACAGGCGCTGTGGGAACTCTGCCCCAGCCAGCAAACAAGATGCAGGCGCCTGTGTTGGGTTAACCATCTCCTCAAAAGCTGCGCTGGTCATCCACTCTTTGAAACCCTCAGGCAGTCTTTGCATCCACTAATTTGACAGCCCCATGGTGTCTGTTTTTAACAAGGCTTGGTAATCTTTTCAAAGAGGTCTCTCAGCTCCTTGAGAAGGGGCTCCCCAGCCCCCCTCTACCCACAGAACTGACAGCCCACTGTTAACCCACAGCTGAGCTGGTGGCAGCCCCAACGCACTGTCCTGGCCCCAGGTCTAAGAATGTCATGTCAATCAGTAAAGGAGTGGGAGGCACCCAGAGAAGGTTCATGCTGTTCCAGCCATGAAAAGCAATTGATGGGAAACCAGGGAGAGCTCCTGGCTGGATCTCAGAACAGAGTGTAAACCGAAACGCCCACAGGGAGCTCTGTGTGACATGAAACCACCCAAAGGTGCATAATGGCTGGGTTCAGCCAATGCGCCTCATTCTCTGGAGGAAAACACTTCAAATCAGTGATATGAAGGGGGCAGAAGGCAAACTCCTTCCAGGACTCTGTTAATCTTGGGAATTATTCTGGATCCTTCACTAGTTGGGAAACTCCCACAAGGGAAGACACTACACAGGAAGCCCACGGTTTGCAGGGAGAGATGAAGAGAAGGTGACTGTCCCTGGCACTGGCCAGTGGATTGCCAAGCAAGTGCAGGGTAAGCACATGGAACGGAGCAAGCTTCATTACAACTCAGTATCAAATCAAAAGCAAGAATCTGTGTTGCTGCACGGAGCCTGCCCAGAAGTTAAGCCAAGCAAAGGGGTGGGACAAGAGCTCCAGAGAACCGACACCTAAGGAGCATCTGTTATGTACGGGGCTCAGCATTACCTGGTTTAACTTTCACCATCTGTAGCAGGTAATCCCCATTTTACAAATGAGAAAGATGAAGATAAAGGAATGTGCCTAACTAAGGTCACGAGGCTAGGAAATGAGGGATTGGAGATTAAGAATGCACATCTGTCAAAATCCAGAGAGCATTCACTACAGCAGCCCGCCACTCTGTCTCAAGAGAAATAGTTTCCTCAGAATATAAGAAATAAGGATTTCTTTGCTTCCTTAGTCAACAAATGCAGCTTCCCTCCCATCCTGCTCATCCCGTCTGGCCAGGTCCCCTCTGTCTCCTGCTTTTTCTTTTGCAAAGATCAGGGCAGGACGCTGATGCAGTCTTCGAAGGTCTCATCCCAGACCCAAAGCAGGGGCCCCCAACCTGGAAGGATAATCGCTGTTAATATACCATTGTTAACCAGTAATTGCTTTCCTTTGGCTTCACCTTTTCTAAAGCCATGGGCAGTTTCTCCCAGCCTCAACCTTCTTGAAGCTTTTGTTTAAGTCTTTAAAAGACAAGACCTTCCAAAGAAATAATTAAGTCTTTCATGCCCCACACTTTTAACAAATGTATTCTGACCTCGTTTCATCCTTTTTGGAAGGAAGCAGTTTTCTGGCACCTTAAAAGGATTTTCATTCAATTATCCTCCGGAATCCTCTTTTCGTCTTTCTTTCAGCACAAAAAGCTTCCCATTTGCCTCCAAAGGTGAAATTAGGTGCTTGCCTATTCAACATCAGGCAGGGTTTTAAATTGGGTGAAATAATAATGCTTCTTTGCATTTCAGGGCAGCCTTCACAGAAAGAAATTAGAATCTGCGCTAAGAGGCAGCTATAGTTGCCCTTCCATTCTCTGTGTGCTCTGGGGGGAGCAGCTAAGGCAGAGCTGGAATTCCAATTCACACAAACACAAAGACTCTTTTAAAAAGTTTATTTAGGAGTTAGGACAAAGCTGGGGAGATCATCCCTGCACTGTGAGATGGTGCTGGTCTTTACACTTCCACAACCTCATTGTCAGCCCCTTCTTTTCACCTGGAGAAAAACCTTCCTCAGTAAGAAAGACTTGTGAGTGTGGCCAAGCTACGAGCATTTTCTTTTTACTAAAATAGAAAAAAAAATGCAAAAGGAATAATATCAAAATCAAACAATGCACTGGAAAAAATGAGATGATTGGAATTAGCTTGACCTGAGCCTTTCTCTTTTAACTTGAAACACAATTTTCCCCAAATATGGCAACTAAAGATGAACAGTCTCATTAGATTCCTCATCAAGCATCTAGTTGCCTCCCCACCATCCAGGACCACCCCATGAAACACATATACACACACACACACACTCACACTCAAATCCTAGACAGTCAACAGAACTGTCAGCAGGAGAAAGCTGACCAATTGGCATCCTCTAGTAATTAGAACTATTTTAAATAACTACAATGGGAAGAATATCATACATTTGCCTTCTACATCATGCCTGCAATACCTACCACTCACTGTCAGGCTGTCATGACTTCACCGCTATAGAAAAGTGAGGAGTAGGTCACAGCATGACAGCATGTCTTCAGGATAATCTGCCAAACCTGTTACAAAATTGAGGGATTCGCTTGTCTAATTAATCCAGTGTCACCTGGCAGAGGAAAGGGTCTAAAATAACTTGCACAGAAAATAGTAAGTTTTGATTGGAGCACAAGGACGGAGAAGAGTAAAATGTGCAAAGGAATTCTGCAAGGTGTCAGGGCCCAGGGGAAAACCAGAAGGCAGAAACAAGCCAACCAAGGCAAGGCAACTTTCTCCTCCTTCTCAATTTTCCCGAAGACCACAATGGGTCTTGTTCTATTAAACCTCCAACACCTGGTACAATTAATACTCTAAACCCTATCTACATAAAAGCCTTTTATGTTTTATGAGCATATCTACTCCAATGAGAAATATCCACTGATATAACTGGCCCTCCACAGAAGCTGCTTCCTCTGAGGTCCCAACATCCCTATTATGACTCTGAAATTACATTAATCTTCCATATTGTCTAAAGGGAGAAACAGAAACATTTAAAACACGGGTTATTCTAAAATGTACCAGATCATTTGTACCCACCAGACCACGAGGCACTCTCTGCCAAAAAAAAAGAAAAGAAAATGGATTCAAATCATTGCCCAGACAGCCCAGAGGAAAACAGCCTCCCCAGACTCAGGGCCTGTGCATGCCCAGCCTCTGAGCCTCTCTTTTGGTAAAAACATGAAGTCTTTCAACTATTTTCTTACCCAGTTGTTCCGGGAAGGTAAAAGCACAGATTGCTGAGCCCACCTCCCAGAGTTCCTGAATCAGTAAGTCTGGGGTGGGACCTGGAAATGTACATTTATAACCAGTTCCCAGGTGATGCTGATGTTGCTAGTCCAGCAAGGTCTCTTTAAGAACCACTGATCTTAATAAATTTCTTCACTAGTGCTACATCTGGCCCAGGCAGTCAATTGGACTTCGTTCTTTACATGTTCCAAACTGGGGAATCAACAATTTGCAGACTGCATTTCTTATCTTTCATTTCTGTCTATGCCAGCTGGGTAAAGATTGTTACAAACTAAGGGTTATGGCAGGAAAATCATCAAAAACCCAGCCTAC